GTCCATGGCCCTTTAATGGGCCATGGCACAGGGATTGGGGACCCCTGCTTTAATGGATTCTCCAAAATCAATACCAAATCATGCCCTTAACTTAAAAGTTTATTTCTCAACTTTTATTGCCACAATTCTCTTGTCATGTATCTCTATTCAGTAATTAAAGAACTAAAATAAACAGGAGAGACATCCCTGTGTGATCCCTTTTTATATCTTATAGGATTTTTTTTAGATGTCCGATTGACAATTATTTGTGCTTTCTGTGAAGTGCAAATCAATCTTACCCATTTAATAAAATTCTGTTCAAAATTAGTATCTTCCAAAACTTTAAATAGGAAAGCCTAATTCAAATTGTCAAAGGCCCTCTCTGCAGCTATGAAAATCAACATGACTTTTTGCCATTATGTATTCCAAAATGTCCATCACATTTTATTATCTTTTAACTCTTTTAGCTAAAAACCCATATTGAGCCTCATGAATAAATTCTTGAAAAATTATTTTCAACTTCTCAGCCACATTATAGTCATTATTCAATATTCAATATTGACTGATAATATCTTGAAGTCAAATCTTGTCTCTCCTAGTATTAATGCTAAGACATGATTTTTAATTTGGGGAGATGTCTGGAGGAAAATTTTACTGTATTTATAATCTGCTAAAAGGGGGATACTCTAAAATCAATTATACCATGCTTTATTAATATCCTTAAGCATGAAATCTTTTGAATTCGTATTTTGGTCAATGTGTATTCTTTCTGTCTGTGAGCTCCAATTTTCTCATTGGACAATTTATCATGGCCCCCAACACCTCTTATCTTTTATTTTGCTCAACCAAGGCTGGAGATGGGCTCCTAGATAATGCTATGCTTGGATGGAGCAATGTATCTGTCACAACATTTGAAGAGAAAATCACATTTCACCAACAGTGAGATCTGCTAACATAAAGAGAAGTTCTTGGCTTTTTAGTATTTACTATAGATCACCAGACAATCCACCAATTCCATCTGTAGGTGTCACATACTACCTCAGTGGTTTTGGAAACCACAGACGAATGCATATATATGTGGGAAAATTCATGGATTATATATTTGTCTTTGTGTTGCCTATTGTTAATATTACATTTATTACATTTATCTTCTGTCAATGGCATTTTTGGTTGATTTTCTCTTAATATTGACCTGATGTTCCATTTGTTTAAGTTCTACCTATATAGGCTGTGCTGTGATTTATTGAAGACATTCTCAGGTTCTGGGCTTGAGCAATAGGCTAAATGATCTTGAGCATCATGTGGGAATGACAATAATGAAGGGAAAAGCAGATCTGAAAGCATGCCTGGTAATGCCAATTGATTCTAAATATAACAAAGTAGAGTACAAATTAAGTGAGATGCAAAATTATTGATTAATGAGTTCTGGGGAACAGTACAAGGATCATTTACCCGAATTAGATAATTTGTATGACTTGTAGCACAATCAGTAAAAAGAAAGAAATCACATCAGTAAAAAATATGCTGCCATAATCCTGAAACTGTACATATTCATCTAAACATAGTATAAGAGTCTTTGCAAAACATTAATTTTTAATACATGAGATTTGAACCTTATTGTAACAAGGTACATCTAGTATTTCCATAAACTGAAATGTCACTAGAAGACTCTTATTCTTCCAGATTTCATTGCTAATAAAATGTCCTTGAACTCATTCTCCCCCCTCCAAAATACATTGATAGAACTGTTAGATCAGTGGTTCTAAACCTGTGGGTCGGGACCCCATTTGGGGTCGAATGACCATTTCACGGGGGTCACCAAACCATGCTGTCCGCCATTTTTTTCCCTTTTCCCTAGCTGTCCTACTTCCTCTTATTGGTGGCCACACCCACTTGGGGGTCACCACAACATGGGGAACTGTATTATGGGGTCATGACATTAGAAAGGTTGAGAATCACTGTGTTAGATGGAAAGATGCAATTGTTTTTTATGTTTTGCTGATGGAGGCCGTTTAAAAAAATACCTTTTTGATACATTTGAATGAAGCCATAATCTAAGCTAGAACATTCCATAGGGTCGATTGCTCTAGAAGTATAGACTGAAGCACTACAGTTGAGACTGAGGGCAATGGTTATTGAAGGCAAAGTTAATAGTGTTTGCTTCTGGGACTGAGAGTGCAGCCTGCGGGTAACACTGAGGGTGATAACAATGAAAGGCTGAGACCTGCAAGGGCCAAGTTGAAGTGGCAATGCTGTAACAGTGACAACAGGGTCTGAAGACCAAACTGGCAAGTGAAGAAAGTTGGAATTGGCAGCTGGTGATTAGGGCCTCTGTGATAGCGGAGTGGCTGAGGGCCAGTGGCCCTCATAAGGAAACTATGAATGCATGGACAGCTCAAGATTGTGGCCAGAGCTCAGTGGTCCCGAAGCCAGAGTGGTTGACTTGAAGCAGTGGCCAATGCCCAGTGGCCTTCATAAGAGACAGGAAAGAACTTGGAGGTGGTTTGGCCACCTGAAGTGAAATGGAGGAGACAGTGGTGGTTATGCTAGAGGAGCACTAAGGATCCAAAATCATTTGAAGTCTGCTCCAAGTTTAAAAGCCTGGGAGCAGCTAGTGTGTTGATGATGGATATTTGGCATTTTCCCTCCAGAATGAGAGTTGGCTATGAGGGGGTAAGTCTGCCCTCCCTCTGGCTGACCAATGAGAGGGACCAGCTTAGGAGGGAGTAGGGAGAAGCAGAGAAGAATATCTCTCCAGGATATTTAAGGGAGTGAATGAGAAACACTGAAGTGGGATAGTAGAGTAGGGAGGTCAGATTGGGAGGGGGAAGATCATCTTGAGGATCTAGGGAAGGACAACACATTAAATTGGTGATGGGCATGGGTTGTTTCAGGAGCCAAAAGGCAGGCCATTACAAGTAAAGATACCCCCAATGTGTAGTACCGGTGGTGTGTTCTGGCCCTCTGAGCTCATTCCCAGGGCCTGGATAGCATAACCTCAGAGGCCCTGGGTTTGGCTGCTGCTGGTGAATGCCAGGTTGGTCAATAATAAGGCTCCCATTATCCAAAATCTCACTGAGGTGTGAGCCGACCTTGTATGCATCACTGAGACCTGGCTGATTCTGGAACGGAGGGTTCCCCTTTTAGAGATGTGCACAGCCAAGTTTAGGGTTTGGCACCGAGACCCTAGGACAGGGGAGGCAGGCTGGCAGTGTAATCCAAGAATGTCTTCTGGCCTTCAGGGGACTTGCTCCCCATGTTTTTGCTTGTGCGATCCTGTTTCTGAAGCTGCACCCCACTGGATCAATTGGTGCTGCTGTAGCAGCCTCCCTGCTATGTGGCAACTCCTTGTCTGAGTTACTGGAAGCCATCTCAGGGTTGGCAGTGGAGTTCCCAAGGCTTATAGTCCAGGAAGACTTCAACTTGCCATCCCTGGATTTGATCTTGAAAGCAGTCCAGGAGTTTATGGCCACCACGGTGGCTTTGGACCTATCCCAGATCATCTCGGGTCTGACTTGGGACAGTGATCACTTGCCAGATATGATCTTTTTGGAGCAATGACAACATGATCTGGGACAGGGATCTATTGTTAATCCTCCTGTCATGGTCAGCTCATGTCAAGTGTCCTTGAGATACTCTTATGCCACCCCCCTTTTCAAGAGAGGCCAAACCCATTCAAGTGGCCCATTCCCAATGACTGATGGACTTGAATGGGTTCCAGAGAGAATGAGGGATATCCAGAGGCTTTGGTGCATGATCCTAACAAAGCTCTGGTTATGTCCTAGAACCAAAGGACAGCTGAGGCTTTGACAGGATCATTCCTGTGCAGTCTCTCTTGATCCATTGTCTTTAAAAGGACTAAGAGATGCCTAGAGCACTTTTGGAGGAAAACGAGAGATGAATCTGACCAGATATGTCTTAGAGCTGCTCTTAATGCTTACCTTATGGTGGTAAGAAAAATACCAAAATGCAAGAAGCATTTTAAGAAGGGATAATGCCAAGTAGAAAATTCAGATGGAGAAAAAATTAGATTCATAAAGGTTTGTAGCAGTTAGTGGGTTTCCACACTGAGCTCAGCAAAAGAAAGGGTATGCTGTGCATTGTGTACAAAGGTTTCAGAAGAATTGAAAGCAAATAGCCAGTGACCACATGACACACCATATGGAAGTCATTCATATGATGGCTAGAATCATATGGATGCTTATTTGATTTGAAACAACCAACAACTGAGAGCAATTTATTGGATCAAAGGAACTCAGTCTTTGTCCCAATACAGCTACTCCTTGACCTAAGTCCACAATTAAGCCCAAAATTTCTGTTGTTAAGTGAAACATTTGTTAAGTGAGTTTTCCCGTTTGACGACCTTTCTTGCCACAGTTGTTAAGTGAATCACTGCAGTTGTCAAGTTAGTAACACAGCTGTTAAATGAATCTGGCTTCCCCACTGACTTTGCTTATCAGAAACTTGCAAAAGGGGATCACATGACCCCAGGACACTGCAACTGTCATAAATATGAGTCAGCTGCTAAGCATCTGAAGTTTGATCACGTGACCATGGGGATGCCGCAACATTTGTAAGTATGAAAAATGGTCATAATGGTCACTTTTTTCAGTGCTGTTCTAACTTCGAACATCATTAAATGAAATGTTGTAAGTCGAGGACTACCTGTATTAACAGATCTAGCAGATAACAGATATACTGTACATAAGATTTACTAGTTAAAGACTTTCTCACTTTGAGCATGATTCCACTATTTCTACACTTTTGTGCAGTTTTCCTGGTAATGTAAAAAAAAAAAAATAGTTTGTGATGATTGCTTTTTCCAGATTTTCTAATTCCCCAGTTTAGACAAAGCCCTGATTTTTTTGGTGGCTATCCAGGTCCTGTCCTGCTTAGCTTTTCTCTGGATTAGTAGAGGTTGGCTCAGTTCTGCCACATATTTAATGCAAGAATAAAGAACTGTGTTACAGAACTGAGTTGATTCAGATAACAATCTTTTATTTTTTTTCCTTAAAATTGGTATGTTATTAGTTCATTTCTATATTTTAAGAGTTCTGTACAATTATCAAAATGAAATAAGCAATGTTCAATGTGAAAAGTGGAAAAAGGTAAATCAGGAAAAGTTTGAATAAAATGGAACAAGTTGCTGGCTAGGATACAGTACAAACTGATAACAGGACATCTGAAGTGCAGTATCACTGCAGTATAGATACATGAAAAAAATTGTATTTTAAACAAAGATATTACATATATATGTCTGTGTTTGCATGTTTGTGTGTCCACGAATATATATTTAAATACATATATATATAGCATAATATAATACAATATTTATTTATATGCTTCTATTTTACAGACTACACCCAATGATATCAGCAGATTGTAAAAACATATTTACAAATATTTTTTTAAAAAAACCTTTTCATGTACACCAGCACCATAGTTAAAAAGAGCCACCACCCGCACCGATATTAAACAGTATTTTTTTATTACTTGGTCCCAGTTTAAAGTATTTGGAGGAAAATTTACAAATATAATAAACTTTGTATGAGTGCATTATCAGACACAAAGTTAATTTCTCTATTATTCTAATAAAATGGAACTTACTAGAATTTGTGTAGATGAAACTCATGTTTTAATGTTGCAATCCTATAGCACCTTACCGGGTTTAGCTCAAAGAAAATGGAACCTATTTCTGAATAAACATATATAAGATTGCACCATAAGTCCTCTCTTATCAATCTTTCCAGGAGATTGAGGGAGATGATAAAAACATTCACTTAACTTCTTTCCTAATTTTTCCATACTTAACTGGTCACATTTTTCAGCTTCGTCTGACTGCTACACTGCACAAAAGCTTCAATTTTTTTCTCTCTTTCATCTGAATGTGGTATAATTTTATTAAATAAATTGAATAAATGTGTGGATTAAAAATTCTTTGGATCTTTACATGCAGTCCACTAGTGCTATGATCAGAACTCAATTTGCACACTGTGCACTGAGTGCATGATAAAATCTATCTGTTATAAGCACGCAATTTTTTGGCCAAATGTCTAATCTACGGTACCAATGTGCAAATGCACTGGTCAATTTATATTTTAGTACTGACAAGAAATTAACTCTCATAAGAATCAGCAAAAACTCTGCCAGTAATTGCAGTAGGATATGCGCCTGATACAGGAATTTTAGATCTATGCTATTTAAATCTTATATCCCAACACGAAGTGTTTGATGGGCTAAATATTATTTAAGTAAAACACATAACTAAAACCCTGCCCCCTCCTTCATTTTTCGGGAAAAGCTGTTTCTAGAGGGGGAAAATTATGGATAAATGAAGTGTTCAGTGCTTCTCTACATGCTTTTTGAGCTTTTCAAAACATTTCTTCCAACATGCATGGTAATCTTAACCTGGAAATGTATAAGAGATACGATCAGAGAATGTCATGAACCAAAGAATGAATGGCAAAGTCCCCTCACTGTCTGCTGCTATTCTTCTAAAAATTTATCTCTAAAAACAAATTTGCCTAGATGGAAAACTTAAGAGAAACAGATAAATCAGACCCTGAGAATGCTCTGGATGTGGATGTATTTAACATGAACCCCATGTTCAATATACAGATAGGTGGTCACACATTCAATTTCCAATGTTACAAGTAATGCCAATCTAGACTCTTAAGGACCTAAAATAATTGCAGTTAAATTCTAGTACTTCAAATTGCACAAATCTATGAAAAATATTTGCAATGTCAAATACTTATATACAACTGCTACTAAAAATTACATTAATGGATTTTTATTTTATTTTTTATTTTGTTTTCATTGATCAATTTAGTCATTTTAAAGAGCTTAGGGCTTGTAGAAAGTAGGAGGTGTAGAAAAGAGGACATGTGTTTGAAGAACATAGAGCATAAACTCACTCTCAATCTGTCAAGGGATGCTTTGATAGAGGTGTTCAATGTACTGCATATGACAGCCAATACAGCTGTTAGCCCATTTCTGTGTGATCTTTAGAGCAGTTGTTCCTTGATTCTCATGACATCTTTGGAAGATCAAGCCAACCTCACTTGATCCTGTATTTCCAGAATACAGGATCAATATCAATGTTTTCATTTCCTTAGACCTATCTCCCTTTTTCCAATTACTTTTGTATTGCATCACTATCTTTGGAGGCAGCTAGTGAGTAATACAATTATTATACAATCTTGTTTGTCCTGCGTTGTGTTTTTCCTCATACTTAATGAGTCAGGAATCACTTGATTATGCAGGAAATGGACAATAGAGAAAAGACAAGCTCTTTTACTAGAATCCATCATGGACCTTAAGAAGCATTGATAGGGCACCAACTGAACTCATTCAACCCTGATATCATCATCATCATCACATTGAAACAATCTTTATGTAATTCTCTATCAGATTACACACATTGCATGGAAAAGCTTGGTATTTATTAAATTCAGAGTTAAGATCTTTGTGTTTGTCACTTATACAGTCACCTAGTTTTGACTCTCTAGCTTTATTTCAGAAGCTGCCTGTTCTGTATCCTGAAAACTACAACAGCTCTAACAGAACTGCATAGAAAGTGCATTGTACAGGACAGCCAGCGCTTTGGCACACGGAAACTGCCTGACACTTTCTGTGGCCCATGGGCAGAAAGAAGCACTTTTTGAGCTTTTCTCTCTTTTTCTCTCTCTCTCTCTCTCAGTCTCTCTCTCATTCTGACCTGCAGCAGGTACGCTATGGCATGGAGACTGCTGTGGGAAGTTGGCAAGGACTTTTTGTCATTGCTTCAAATTCCATCTATGCCTTCACAGATCAGCTAGCCTTGCACAGCTTTAAAAACAAAACAAAGAAACAAGGATGGACATCATCCTGCTTTCCTTTTTTGACCCCACAAATATTGGAAATAAACATCTCCATGTGCTATGGATTTCCAAACAGTTCATCAAGTTCTTGTATCCATTCATCTCCTGGACCACTTTTAATGATGGAGTCTACAAGATTGGTGTTTTCAGTTATATTTGGAAAGGACCCTCCAGTTCCTTCATTGCTATAGCTATAAGATATGTCTTGAGTGGGATTCCTCTCGTAGATCTGACTTTGGCTGCTCTGATTGAAGCTACTTCCAGGTATTTGTTGTGCAGGAGATTGATTAAAACCAGTTAGAGAAGAAACTGCCTGACTTATCGTAGGCATAACCATTGATCTGGATTGGTTATTAGTTCCTTGTTGTCCAGGGAGTTGTTGCAACATCTGTCTCCCTACACCTGAGTTCAGTGTCCGTACTGCTCCATTTGTATCCATAATAGATTGACCAATACCTTGAGGAAAATGTTTAGGCAGCCTTGGCTGACTTGATTGCATTGAATAAGCAGATCCATTATTGAAAGATCCAATTTCATTGCTAGTCCTTCCAGGGATACCTTGCAGTCCTCTTACCTGCCAATTCGGTGTTCCTTGTGGGACTGACCCCATCATATTTTGAAGCCTGGGGGCTTGTGATCTGGTCATAACTTGTCCCACAGGTCCTTTCATTTGCTGATGTTGTTGAACTACAGTAGAGTTTACTAAAACATTTGGACCAAAGCTACTGACTATGCCAACTCCTTGTGTTGAGCTGGACTGCCTTGGCCCCTGACTTGGATTGTGTATTATATTTATACTATTTTGGTTTGGGTGCTGCAACATTTGGCTCATTCCTGAGTTCATACTGTACATTCCTGGCTGTCCAGTCACTGGGCTGCTGTAAGGAGTCATTCCCATCTCAGACTGGCTACCTGTTGCAGATATTGCTGCAGTGTTCTGAGATGCCGCCAAAGACATCATGCTAGCATTCTGAGGTATCATTCGGGAAGTCCTCATGCTCTGAAGAGCAGTCTGGTTTCTCACTGCAGCTATATCTTGTGGAGAACCTAAAGCAGCAGAAGAAAAAAGATTAGAGTGAACTTCAATTTAGTGAAAGAATTTGCAGTTGGAAGAACTTGGCAAAAAATTTTTGCAAAATATATGCAAGAAATAATCTAGACATTTTTATATTAATATTCAGATTTGTTACATACCTCCTCAGCTGTGTTGTAAGCTCTGACTTGCAAAATTCTGACTTTATGATGTTGGAATATTATTTTGCTTAGCTTATAAGCAAGATTACATGTCTCTAGAAAATCCTACCAATAAAGTCACTTTTAGAGACATGTTAGATCGTAGCAATATGACTTCTATATAGCAGACAATTTCTTTATCTAATACAAACAAAACCAAGCTAAAGAGGTGGAACTTTTTTCCAGTCTCTCAGGTGGAGTCTTTTCCAGTCCTACTTGGAAATGCTAAGGATTAAACATGAACATATTGTCTCTAAACGTAATTTTTGATCTATTTAGAAGATGTATATGGCCAGTCTGGGTGGTTATCAACAATGTTTTGCTAGGAAGCTCTGTCCATAGAAAATTCCAGAAAATGCTAAAATTCTATCCTGGGTTCATCTTCTGCATAACATTTTTGTGATCACAATGATCTCCTCTGCTTTTCTCATAAATAGAAATAATTAAAAAATATATTGTTGCTACAGACTGAGAATAGAATAATGTGTTGTGGTTTTATAGTAACTAAACATTTAGGGCTGTTGGGTTAGAAGGCAAAAAAGGCTTTAGTGCACAGCACACACAGCAGGTTATTCTATACTTGTACCCCTGCATACTCAGAAGCACCATTTGACCTTCAAATCTGAAGTACTGCTCAGCTGTTGTTCTATATCATCATGTTACAATCTTGTTTAAAGTTTGAGGATAAATGTTTTCCTGTTTTCAAAGAAGCAGAGGTTGAGCGTGATTCAGATTTTACATTATTTAGTGGCCAGCCAAATGCTGAAGGTCATGATTACAGGGGATTATAATTATGCAAGCATTCATTAGAAATCTATTTGGAAATGAAGAATTGAACAAGTAAACAATGATCTGACCATTAACTATCCAAGAAACTCTTTAACTATTCCCATTATCTTTTAAAATGAAAACTGTCAGTTGCTGAGAGGTTAATCAATTTGTATTGCTTAGGCATCATATGTGAATGGATATATAGTGTTGTTTCTAGTTATGTCTATAGAAAAGAGAAAAAAAGATGCTTTCTCCTCTAGATATTTTACACAGAGATTGTGTATTAACAAATCAATACTGTAAGCACATTTTGTCCACCTTGAACCAATGTTGAGGAATCAGAAAAACCTTTCCTTATTAAATTCTAGCCTCTCCACGATGAAAAGTAAACTATCTTGGAGGCATGATTGCTTTCTGGAAAACAAACATGCCCTTACGTTTATCATCTCTTATTTAAAAATAGTGATAAGAATTTTGACTCTGCCAAGAGTTCAGTGTGATGCTGAATATAATAGAAGAAAGTAAAAATTCCTTGGTAGTTTTTCCTTTACAACTTTTTCTACAGTAAAAAGACTATGCAGCCCATACATGTATAACATGTATTTCTGAGTTAATATCCTGTCATTTGTTTAAAAAGTCAGCATATATATATAGTACTCCCTCCTTCCATTTTCCTCCACAACAATTCTGTGAGGTTGGTTGGGCTGAGAGAGAGAAAGAGAGACTGGGCAAGGTCTGATTTAAAAAGGAACCAACCACATCTATGTCTCTTACTCACTGAGCAGGTAGGCTCAGGCAGCTGTGGACCCAGGCTCCAATAGCTCCAACAGCTCTTTTTTTTTTTTGAAATCTCCACAACTTTCTCTAATAAAAAAAATTGCCCCAATCAGTGGCAGAGCTTCACGAGCATTTTAAAGGATACAGATAAATAATGTAGTGAGAATAATCTTCAAAAAGTATAGGCATCCCCCTCAGAATATTCTTGCCCTATCCATATGCATCATTATACATACTGATAAAAATGATGTCCAGTGGAGCCCCTGATGTAAAACAAGGCTAGAAGACTCCAACAAATTATGCATTTTGGGGGTATGCCATTAGATTAGATGTTTCTTTTGGAATGAATTAATGTAAATAAACTACAGGTTGTAAAAATATTCCATGAAATAGAAAAGGTTGTTTTGAGCTACAGGGGGCTGTGATTAGGGAAAAATAATAAGTGTATTATAGTAAATGTACATAAAATCAACTGTTTTAATAGCATATAACCCATAAATTTTATTTCCATATAGTCTTCCTTCCAAAGAATTATTTAAAGGAGAAAGCTGGAAACATTGAAAGCAGGACAAGAGCAAGTGCCTTGCGTATAGGAGCAGAGGTTTCCACAACTGTGATACTTCCACAATGACATCATCATGTGGCTATTGCCATTTCATACTAAAGTCCAGACATCTAATGTAAGTAAGTAAACTGCAGCATTTGTGTGAAGACATTAGGCAATGTCAGCATGTCCCCCTTTTTGGGACTCTGCATTGACATTCCCTGACAGTGTTCTGCTAATCAGGGTTATGGAGGTGAGGCTAGAGTTTGTACAACTGACTTACAAAGCTCTTAAACACTAGACATCTTTCAGGGTATTTACAGCTTCAGAACCAGCCATCCTGAGTCCATACTCTGCTTGACTGAAGCACATTTGCTATATTTAAATATTTTAAAGGCAGTGAAGGGGGGGGGGAAGAACTTTTCTTCTATTAAATTTCCCTTGGAAATATTTTTTAATCAGGTTTTGTCTGGCATCCAAAGTATCCATTTCCCCCATTGTCTGCGATACACTTCATCCAGAAGTACTATATATTCTCCCATATATTCCTAGCATTTCATAAACAATTGAAATCATTATTCCAGGGAACCTTTAGCCTCAGCTGATCTGATCTGTGGGCAGCTATCTTAGTTTTTTTTAGCCATCTTGTTATTTTAATTATTTTATGTTTATTCAGGTTTTTTCTACACTTTGTTTGACATAAGATTTTGTTCTTTATACTGATGCACATCATCCAATCTTTGAGATTGGGGACGTTTACATCACCATAAACACAGAAATTCTCTCAATTGCATCTCTACTTTTTGCTTAGAATGTGAATGGGATAGATTTACATTTGAAATGTGCCATCCTTTTGACTTGGAAACTGTCTGGACTAGACCTTACAGTTTTTTGGCAAGGTTTTCCAAAGTAGTTTGCCATTGCCTTCTTCCTGGGACAGACACAGAATGACTGGCCCAAGGTCATCCAATTGGTTTCATGCTAAGGCAAAACTAGAACTCAGACATCAATGCCTTAACTACTGTACCAACTGGCTGTCTCCACTCTCATTAACAGCTTGCAGATTGTGGTAGAACAGACTACATGTAATGAATATGCTTGCTTGTTTCTGTCTCTTCCTGCCATCTGGCACTACAAGATGGTTAAATTTCTAATGCAATATGCAGAATATCTAAGAGGATCACTCCACTAATCAGAATTGTTTGTATTTTTTTGGCAAATAAGTTTTGTAACCAATCTTCTAATTTACATTTTTTAAAGTATTTTTTATGCCTGTTGACAGTGAAGAGAAGGAAAGAAGTAGCATCTAGGGCTATTTGATGATCTGGATTCAAAGGGGAATGTGGGGGTTCAAAACACACCAAGTATGCTTGTTATTCCTGTCAGCAATTCCTTAAGTCAAAGATATCTTTTCCTGGATAATAATAGCCTAGAAAGGAGTAAAGAAATCACAAATAGATGTGATGTGAGCACACTCATGTGTGCATATCACCTTTTTCTCCATTATATCTAGATCAGTGTTTCCCAAACTTGACAATTTTAAGGCATGTGGACTTCAACTCCCAGAATTCCACAGCCAGCATTGCTGGCTGTGGAATTCTGGGAGTTGAAGTCCACATGCCTTAAAATTGTCAAGTTTGGGAAACACTGATCTAGATTGTCGCAAAGTCTTAGTAGCTACTGCCAACTTGTGTTAGATAAGATTGTACCTCCTGAAGATGCTGTTTTAAAATAACAAAGTAGTGGCTGTTTTACATAGATAACCATTATATAGAGAAATAAGCACGTAAATATCAAAGAGAGATAAGCAGCTTCTGAACCTAAAAAGTATTTAGCTCTCACCTGGAAACTGAGTGACTGGTTGGACTGGATAAGGATTTCGCTGCTGTTGCTGAAAGTGCTGCCGAGGCAAATGTGACTGCTGCTGTAAATGCTAGAAAAACAAAAGAAAAGGGGTTAAGAAGGGAAAGTTGCCCATTGGGTTGCTATGACAGCCAATAGTGGGGCACTGATACTGTTCCTTTACTAGAAAGGACTCTCCAAAGATAAGTGCTTATGTGAAGTGGCTAGTGAAGTGAGCAGTAGATAGCCTTGCATAGATCAAGGGGTCTGATTCTACTCCAATATTCTAATTTGTGAACTGGCTGCACACTGGTCACCCATGGGATATATCTGCTATCATTATTAAGCAGCTCCTGGCAGCGTATAAGAGATTTGACTGTTATCTTGATTGGTATGCTTTGTATGTTATGCTGTAGGAGAAAAGCAGGCATAGCTGGGAGGCAGAGTTAAACATGTCATTGGCTTAGAATCCTTACATTGTCACGAACGATCCAAGTCCACACTTCCTTTAATTCCTTTGACCCCTATCTAGCGCCAATTTTGTGCTGATCATTAGTTGACTAGAATTTTGTGCAGACTTGAATAAATGTTATGTGCTGCAATATATGGTCCTGATCCTTTGTGCCTGACACATACTTTTCAATCTATTTATTTTAACTAATAATTAAGCATAACACTCCTTATTTACTGGTATGCTTATTGTCTTTGGCTCCAAAAGAACCAATTGCCTGGATACGGGATCAACGCCTTGACACTTGGCAAATCAACTCATAACTTCATTTAGAAGCACACTTTATAAGCTGAATGAAAAGAACTTTGATAGATTTCAAAATGTATCTATATTTAATTGCTGTACTGAATATTTGCTTATTAATGATCGTATTTTTTCTTATAGAACAAGTAGTTCCAGTTGGTGTACAATATATCAAGCAACTTCCTGCAAAATGTTTGTTAAGTGAATTTTGCCCCATTTTACAAACGTCTTGCCACAGTTGTTAAGTGAATCACCGCAGTTGTTAAATTAGTAACATGTCTTCCCCATTGACTCTGCTTGTCAGGTCACAAAAGATTATCACATGACCCCAGGACACTGCCACCAGTATGAGCCAGTTGCCAAGCATATGAATTTTGATCACATGACCAAGGGGATGCTGCAACGGTCATAAGTGTGAAAAACAGTCATAAGTCACTTTTTTCAGTACTGTTGTAACTTTGAATGATCACTAAACAATCTGTTGTAAGTCAGGGATTACCTGTACTTTAATTCTGCCTGCCTCAAAGGAACTTTTGGAGATAGAATTCAAAGTGCTGCAGAGCCCTAATACTGTCAGTGTTGGGAAGTAATGTTTAAGATATGTAGGAAAACGATATACTGTACTTGTTCCGCCAAGATGTGCTGCTGCCGTTGCTCCCTTAGAAGAAAGTGTTGCTTTTGCTGCTCCATCATTTGGAGTTGGGCCCTCTGCTCAATCAGCATTTGCTTCATAATGGCTGCTTGAGGCTGGTTGCCCAAGAAATTGGCATTGCCAGGATTTGTGCCCACATTACTGGGTCCTGAGGATACAGCGGACTGCATGGGACCTGTGGATCGAGACAATCCCACAGCGTGCTGGTCCTAAACAATGAAATACATAAAGGTATAAGTTAGAGAGTATGCAGGTATACTGTACATTAAAGAAATCAATATATTAAACATTTTTCTTTGCAAAAAAATAAATTAATAAGGAAGAGAACAGAAAACAGAAGGAACAATGCCAGAGGTTAGTCACCAACCTAGTGCTCTCCCTGTGATTTGGAATTACTGTTTACCTAAATCCTAGTCAGTATTCCATTGCATTAAGTTCCATGTTTGATATCAAAAAACAGTGAGTCCCTAAGGAATTATGAAATCTGGACATCATTATTGGTCACAAATGCCAACAGAATCTCTGATGATGTAATCTCATGAAACAGAGTCTTTCCAAATGATTTGACTTGGGAAGAGACCAGGCAGTATACCAGGCAGTAAGGTTTAGTGCAATGTTTTGAATTAAACCTGGAAGTGTTAGGAAGTGGTAAAACTTCCGTAATTAAAAAAATTGCATGCTTTGTAAAAACAACTTTAGCAAAATTGGTTGCTGCAATGTTTTGGTTTTTAAAAATTTATGAACATTTGCATTAACCATTCTGATAACAGTTTTGCAAAATATAGAATGTATGTCAAACTTTCTTTTGGTAAATTTTTCAACCATTTTCTGTATTGGTAGAATATAAAATAATTCATTTCAAATTCATTTCTGAATTTCTCTCTTTTTAACGACATCAATAAGTGTCTACCAAAGGGAAAGAAAATTTGGTAGCTTCACTTATACATAACATTGGGAAATCAGTCTTAACAAGTTGTCAGTGGTGATGAGCACAATAACAGATAAAGAGTTTAGCACAGGCAAAGAGTAAAGGCCAAATATCTGGAAACATGGCCAGAATTAGAAAAGGGTAGGAAAAAAGGGTTAAGAGGTAAATCTGAAATTAGGTATTAACAGCTTTTGGATTCAGATACGGGCATTTGAAAGTCTACCAAAATTTTGATTTGTTTTTCCTGCCTTGCATTTATGTAATGTAAATAAATTAACCATGACTTTCTCAGTTAGTCTCCCTCTCACATTTATTTGATTGAGCTGGGCGGTAATATACATTTCTTTAATAAATAAAATAAAAAATAAAAAATGCAGGGTAGACATAGATGAGGAATGGCATAGGGGCTGGATTAGAAACAGTGATAATCTCTGGCAAGCAAAGCTCAGTCTTCTTTTGTAAATTCTGGATGTCAGTCCAGTAAGCTTCATATTAAATTTGTGCAATCATTGTGAATGAGTGAGCAAAACGGAACCCTGTGGTTTTTCTTCCTATCTATATAATCAGTCTCCGTTGTCTCATCATAATCATCTTTAGATAAGGTGAGGTTGATGAAAAGGTCTTCAGCATGGAAACTAGCTGAGGGAAAGGTTATTATTATGATACTTTTCCAATTAAAGGTATAGCTGCAAAATCTTGTCATACTAGGTACTTAACTTTGAAAATATTTTTTTCTACTGTGTTTCATAATGATTAGAAGAAACTAACTAAAAATGGACTGCTTTTAAACTCCCAATGAGATTTAAATAATGCAGGCTTGTTATGACTGTAATGCAGGATTCAAGAAAGTAATCCTTATAAGTTTAGAAAAATATTCTTGTGAGTGCTCTTGCCTGCCTATCTCAAACCAACATATCATGATATACCTGCAGGCTTTGGCTAGAAAACTCCTAAGGAGGGACTGAAATAAATCTTTGTAGCAAAACAGTTCATTAGCACTTTGACCAATAGCAATTATCATACAGCAAAGATGCATAACAGGAAGTTAGAACTTAATTAGATTAGAAAGAGAAAGTCAGAGGAAGAGATGTGCCTTTTAGAAAACATATCTCTTTTGCCCTGTAAGGTTCAAGTGGAACTTGAGAGGCATCTATTGCAACTCATAAGCTCTGAGTATTGTTAAAAGCTTCTTAAGCACCCAGCAGTGGTTATGTGCTACAAAGGATGCAGTGTACATTTTTCTTCTAAATCCACCCATTATCAAAACTGCAGGTAGCTCTGGATCAAGATGAGTGTGAGAACATCTACTGGGCTAATGTTTCTCTGTTGCACCAGCAGGTGGCATCACGCGTCCAATTCTTGATAGCTTGTGTCAGCCTATTGGTGACTGATTGCTGCCCTGGGCGCTCTGCCTTTTTCCCCCCATTTCCACCCTCCCCTGTGCTTGCAGATGGCTTAATCATGACTACTGTTCCCTCCCCCTCCTCCTCCCCCTTAGTACTTCTGGGATAATGCTGCTAACATTCAGCCAGCCAGTCAAGTGTTACAGCACCGAGCAGGTAGCCTGGCAACTGAGAGTATAATACCGAACAGATGGTGTTCATACAGCATGATGGACATCACACACAGCAGCCTGAGACAATCCAGGAATTCTCCGGTGGTTTAAAGCCTCTTTACACAAAAAATGTGCTTGCCAGCAGCTTTGGGGATAATTTCCACCCTCTCCCTCCAATCTGACACTGAACCACTGAAATGATTTCTTATTATTTCTGTTTTGCTAACTGCACTGAAGGGACAGCAGTCTGGTGGCAGGTGAGATGACAGATGGAGGGCGAAACTCAGGTTATTGTGAATTAATAAAACCTTATGTTAGGCATAGGCAGAGAAAGGTTGTTCAGAACAACATACTTGGGAATATTTATGTGAGGATGCTCTTCTGGTGGCAGCTAGGGAAAATTGTACAATGCATCAATTCCTTCCTGAACAGGATTCTGGTCATTCATTCCCACATGATTATAGCAGAGGTGCTCACAGCATAAAATCACTGAATGTTTTGGTGGCGGAAGGGCTAGGTCTGAATACTTCCATATCTCACCCCCTTTCTTCCTTCCAAACAAAGAATCAACTCTTCTGCCACTGTTGAGAGCTGCAGGCACACCACTGAAGCAACATTACACTGGCTCAGTTTCCAAATTCAATGCAGTGCTTGCTAAGGGGACTCCTGACACTTCTTCCAGATAGCATGTTGCTCTTTACTAATGAGCTCAGGAAGCTAAGACGTACCCAGGCTGTCACATTTCTAACCCTGAACAATGCATAATCTGTGACTCTGGTGGGGCTGGGAAGAAGGCGCAGAGAAGCTCAAACAGTGATATTTTTGTGGAGGAAAGAGGTGGAGGTAAGGAAAGGGAAGAGGCTACAAAGGCTAATGTAAGAGGTTTCTTACAAAAGCAAAAGCATTCATATTCTCAGACCTGCAAACCTACAGTATACGCCAGAAAGATGAGAAGAATAAACAGTTGAATTATTTAACCTTTCTGTCCACTCACATCTTCCTTTTCCTCCAGTTTTATTCCCCAGGGCTACCTGCCCCACCTCTTCCCCCTTAAGCAATGATTTATGGGTGAGGAAATGGGATTTTCAATGGTAAGGTCAGAAATGGCAGTCAGACGTTATCTTGCCCCCATTGCAAGAAAAACCCTGGGCAAGGTTCCAGAGTTTCTGCAAAGCAAGCCTGGGGGGGGGAGGGGTGTCAGAAAAAAATGATAGGTAGCAGCATAGTCGGTCATTGCTTGTCTTTTTTTAAAAAAAGAGCTTTCTTCTGTATTTAGTAGTCTGCATATGTCTGCTATAGTTCAGGAACAGCATCCATATCCTATAACTTTTAAATCAGGAGTCATTAGAGACCCTTTTGATGTATCTCTCTATTATCTCTGTGATTCAATGCATAGCACTGGGCTTTAAAAGTTTGAGTTCAGATCTTTTTTTTAGTCACAGGTTCACTTGGTAAATGCTCAAGCTGTACCTGAACAAACGCTCATGTTCTGAATGCATGTAACTGCACAAAGAACCATCAATCATCATCCAACAACCTGGTAGAAAAGGATTCTCATGCTTTTGCAGCCACCTTTTATGCCTGGCTGAATGACAGAAGTGGAAAAAGAAGAGAAGGTGGTCATTAGAATAGATCAGTCTGGTTTTCAAAAAGCAGCAGCCATAACAACACATTTCCACATTCACACCATAATTTTTATTCTAGCACACTTTAGATGGAACATTTATTCTTCTTCAGAACAGTACAGACTGAACTGTATAAATGCAATCTCAAATGATACTTAGAAAAATGTGTTTAGTGCAGTATTTGTGGGGTGCTCCATGAGCTAAATCAAATTAAATTCAGCATTGATTAATGGTGAAAAAAATTCCTCTATGCACTCCCTTATCACATACTTTTCTACAGAAACTAGTACATGGACAGCATGTGCTCCCTTTGAAACTTTAAAACAGAAGGCATCTCATATCAAAATCATGGTGGAGATAGGCTGTAAGCCTCAAAATTAAATGAATTAGATAGATCAACTATCTAAGAGAAATAAATATAAAAGAACACAAAAATAGGAGATATTATATAATTGTTTTTAAGATTAATTAAGTATGGTAGGTTGACCAGTTTCAGGTCATAGCAGCACAATTACTAAGATCATATGAAGTAACAGTCAAAGCATCTGTTAATTTTATTTGCAAAATGTGTCCATAGAAATAGCTATCTGAGAATTTTCTCCTGGTGGGTCTATCTTTTGAAATGTGTGGTGATCAGAGACAGAACTTTTTCAAAAATGATCCTTTGCCTTTCAATGATTTTTTACAAGGAAGTGTCTTTGTTTCCTGACCTGGACTTCTACTAACTTTTTTTAGCAAAATAAATTTTGGTTGTACTCTCTGCTTGAAAGATTGTTGCTCTTTTATTCTGTGACTTTGTAGTGTTTATTTTATTATTTTCATGGGAGGTTGGGCTTTTTTTAAAGTGACAGTTTTATTTAATATCATTTCTACTTATGGACTATAACTTTACCTTAAAGGTAAATGTTGAGCAACAAAACAATCAGTGGCAACACCTTGAAAAAAGGGATTTCATAGGAAAGTATGCTTTTTACCACTGGATGAAGAAATGCGGGGAAAATACCGCAAAAAAGTAACTTCATATTAAATCTTTGCAGTTTGAAGATAAGATAATTCAAGAGGATGACAAGAAATAATAATAATATGGATTCCTAGAAGGAT